TATATCACTATGAGAGTACAAAGTGTGAACTTTAATATGAAATGTAAATTAAAGTTAAAAATTTAAACATTTTGGGTTCCACATATCAAATTATTTTAAGGCAAACCTATTAACAACTGAAAAAATTGATTTCATTGTGTGTAAATTTATGTATAAAACCAAGAATAAACACTCGTGAATGGTGAACGCAGTACTATAAAAACGCAGTCAAGCATTTAAAAAATGTATGCTAATTTAAAGCAAATAATTGCAGTATGAAATAATAATAATAATAATAAAGCATGCGAATATAATTAATAAGTTTACTGACTCACCTTGGTATACAATTAGGTGGTGTACGATCGACTTCCCAGGCAGCAAATAATTTCATTGGCACAGGTTTTTGTCCATTTTGGTGATGACCACTCCCACTGCCGGCACCCATATTAGTAATACTTCCACTTTGCACCGCAGTTGAACCGCCAACGCCGGTTATACCACCGGCGCCAGTTGTATTCATATTGGCGGCAAATTTTTCCAACTTCGATGATTTATCAACCATTTTCATTTGGATATATAAATCGGAGGCTATACCTCCAGAACAAACCTTATGATTTGCGAATTATACTTGGTATACACTATTGTGTTTTTGTATTATTAAGTATATGATGAAATTATGTTATAAGTAGTTTTTTTGTTTTTGTTTTTGTTTTTGGTTTTGGATGTTCTTCTACAACTTCTAAGAGATTTCATCACTTCATAAACAATTGTCTAAACATGTAAAAATGTATCTTATTTTTTGCGCTTAATCGAAATGTTCAACAAATTTTAGATATTTGAGGAAATTATGTTTATATAACATGGAAGACTCACGAACGAACATATACCACCCAAATATATAGTATGTTTACTGATTATTAGGAATTATAGAACAAGAAAAAAATCGTATTAAATATTTTTTTTAATATATAAAAACAATAGAACGCATTCTGTTTGTATATATATATATATATGTTTTTCTTTCTTTTTTGTAAATATACTTCGTTTGCAAAATTATGCGATGCGAGTTGAATTTAAACAAATATTAGCAACAACATTTCTATGGTACAAGGGCGTGCCGCATGCCTGCCTCCGAAATTGCCGAATTCTGTTCACAAAATATTTTTCTCTATATGCAAGAACAAAATATATTTTTACAGTGTTCAAATTTTGACGTCCGTCCACAACAAAACAATACTTTATGCTGAGATTTATTTGCTTTTTATATTTTTTAAATATATTTTATTAAAAGATTGCTTTGTTTTTTTTCTTCTTGTTTTTTTGTTTTGTAATATTTATTTAAATTTTGAAACATAAATTTATTAAACAAACAATTGAGAATTCAATTCACTTCTAGAACAACAACAAAATCAAATCAAATTTGCACTACGACGTGCGGGAACTGCTATTTTGTTATAACTTATAAGCTCCAAAGTTGTCGTTCAACTTATTCGGAACTTTGTGCCCCAACATCAAAACAGCAAAAGATACAGATACAGATACAGATACAGAAATCGGCAAGCAGGCAAGCAAACAACAAACTCTCAACAGCTTTGCTCTTTTACGAATTTCAGATTCTCTCCACAATTCGATTATGGAGATTGCAGTCAAATCAATTCATTCAACAGCTCACAAATATTTGATTTAATGGGAGTGTTTTACGGACTGCTCTTGCTCTACGCGCTCTCGGCTGCGCCAAAACAAACAAAAATTCAAGTCCAAAACTTTGTTTGACTGGAGAAGTCACAATCGAAAGAAACAAATCACAAATTTAGCCGCTAAATAGTATTTTTGGAGTTACTAGGCTACTGTACAGCGCATGCATGGAAATGAAGTTGCAGTAGTTGACAGAGTCATAGGTCATGTTTATGGGGCTCCATCTGTCGAATTAAATAACGACAAAGTTTTCGTAACACTTAATACTGCGAAAAGGGGTTCGCGAAGCAGAAAATTTAAAAAGATTGCATCTGTCCCAAAGATCTACTTTCTAAATGCACTAGGTCGAAGAACATAGATGTCCAGTGTCTTATTCTTAGTTAACTTTAAAATTAATTTTAATGTTGACTCACAAAAAAATAAATAAAATGCTTAAATAAAAAAGTTTCAGTACTTAGCATGTCATATTTATGGAGAATATTTATGATGAAAACAATGCTGGAGACAGAACAGATTAACCGAAAGATGAACCAATAAATATGACATTAACAAAATGAGTCTAACTAATTGCACAATCGTTGCATCGGATTAAGAAAAATTGAATGCATTTTTATAAAAGCAGTAATGTAACAGAACGAAGTGCCTATATATCGGCTACAGACAAAAATGTGCGTTTCTCGAAGGCCGAGCCGATGACTGGTAACTATACTTTCAAATTTTTCAATGACATACAACTGGAAATCAGACAAAGAATTACTGCTGTCAAGAGGTGCTAATATGGGTTCAATAAGCAATTGGAATATAGGTCAGTCATCTAACCTATGCTTCTGTATGGCACATGGACGATATCAACGAATGATGACTCTGCACTGGGAATTTTCAAGAGAAACGTTTATTGTAAGTTTAACAATCAATAGATAATTCATTCATTGGATAACGATATTTCTGACAATGGCGCGTACACAGCACAGACACCTGGAGAGATATGCTGTGTCAGGTGAAACCTAATAACAAGCTGTAATTAAGTAACCAAATAAGTAGTCTATCAAAAAATATTATACTAAAAAGTAGAAGATGATTAGAAATATTTTGTTTCGCTATGGTTATTCTAAATGTTATCATCACTGAGTTAATAGAGCTTTGAACCCTGACTTCAAATTTGTTATCTGTATATCCATGGGTTTATATTATTGATTAGAATTAGTTTCATTTATAAGATATATTAGAAACAAAGTGTTATATTCACAAAAGCTTCAAATTATTTCATAATTGTATTACAAGTTCATTTTTATATTGTATATATAAACAAGCAAAACATAAAATTATAATGGCTATTTAAGAATTGCAGAAGTTTCAACTACAAGCACATTCCGTCTATCTGAATCTTTATTCATCTTAATTAAACTACTTATTGTTGTTACTACCTATATCTTTCTCGAAAATACATGAACACTCATAAAACAGATATCTGAGATAATAGAATTAAAGTACTTTTGTCAAAAACAAGGACGTACGAGTGTTACAAAACTTTTAAAGAGCGCAGATAAATAGTGGAAGAGATATCTAGTTTTGTTGGATGGTGTCAAAATTCATGTCAAATTCCAATTATGTTAAAAAAAAAGGTTTGATATTTGATTTTGAACAATATATCATGAAATACTTGCGTTATGGCTTAATTGAAAAATCTTCCTAAATATTCTTCAAATACAAAACTTTTGGCAAATCGGTTTAAAACAAATTTTAACAATCAATTCTTATTAAATATTCACGAAAGGCTTCATAACGGGTGATATCGATCAACCACCATGTATACAAGATCTTAGACCGTGAACTAAAATTACGGCACTCGTTTGGACTCAATTTCTAGTCATACTTACAAATATCAAAAGTCGCCTATGAAAGGAGGCGCTTAAGATGGAAAAATACAGGACTATATGCAACAGCAATTCTTCTAAATTTTTAGAAGGAATAGACTAAAAAGAAAGAGACTGCGTGTTTTATGAAAGCGTATACTATATTTTAAGATAACTAGAAAATGATCAGCAGATAAGATCAACATAGATGATCAGCAGATGAGATCAACACAGATGATCAGCAGATGAGATCAACAACATAGATGATCATTATTCCGACAACATTGCCATGCAAACCAGTGAAGGACTTGTCGCGAAGAAAATGTTAACTCTTCCCTAATAAAAACGACAGAACTTGAATAACAAAAGTTGACAACTCTAGAAATTTAAGAAATTGGAATAAATGAATTAAGTAGTTCTTAGTCTAAAGAAACACAAAAATAATGCACAATACAACTCCGAAGGACGTGTAGTAAATCGTTTTATATAAAAAAAAAAATATATTACTTATTTGATATTGTAATTGCTTTTTTTATTCTATTAAAAAAATAGTTCTGAATAAACACATATTATTTTTTTAAAAACTATGTTTTTGTTTTTTAATTTACAAACAAATTAGCAAACAAAAAAACAATGCAAATAAAAAACTGTGACTGCACTTATGCCAGATAATGCACTTCACTTGATGAATTCGTAACTCAAACTGAATGACTTTGAATTTGATTTTGTTGGTGAAATTGGGAAACGATTTTCCTGCAAGAATGAAAGGAATGCAAACACAATATGCAAGCAAAAACAATTCATTCAAAATTGAAAACAAAACAAATCAACAATTTTGATAAAATGAGCGGGGTTGGTTCCTATAATTCGACTCTCTTCACGCAATCTCTCTTTCGCACATGCACTCTCTGGCGCTCTACGTAGTTTTTGTTTGTTTTGTTAGAGCAGTGAGATTTTAATGGAACAGTAGCAAGAACTCTATTAGAATCTCATACAAAAGTAATTGTAATCTATTGTTTTGTTATTGTGCGCTGCAATTCTAAATGGAAGTCTATATAATCCGGTAGAAATGCTTGGATGTATTTCAAAAAACAATTTTGCATAACAATACTCAAGATTTTATTTTGAGAGTGGTGCGGCAGCCTACGGCAAATTCTTTGTTTATTGTTTTAAAAACAACAAATTTATTTTATTTTTATATGCAATTATTTAACAAAATTTTCGCCTTGTTCTATTTGTTTTTTATGCCAATTCTTTGGTATTGTTATTAGAATAGTCGTTGCTGTTGCTTTTTATACGCTTTATATGCGCAAGACACTACACGGTGGAAATAATTTCGTAATTATTAGCGGGAAACATTATTTGATTAAAGTTTAAATATCACTTTTATATATTTTATTCACTTATTTAACTAAAAATATTTTGTTTTCTTTTTAAATAATAATTTTCCTATTAAAATATCAAATAAAATAACACACCATGATTAAATACACACGAACACAACACTTAACAAACGAGACTACACATAAAATTTTTGACGTTTCTGTTTGAGTATTAAATGCGCAGTGTTGCTATCAGCGGAGCGAGTATCGAATAACATTTGTTGAATTCATGAACAGTACATATAAAAATTTATAATTTCAAATATATGCTTATAAGAAATTATTGAATATAATTGGATGTTGCTTTTGTTTTAAATAAGCACATGTCATTTTCTACTAATAATACATATGAGTGTTAAAGAATAAATTATCACAAAATATTATATTGAATTTAAAAATACAACACAAAAGATTAATGTCGTCCTTAAAAAAGTAGCGGAATTTGATAATATAAAGTGTTATTAAACTTTATTATTTAATACCAATATTGTTTTATCAATAATTTTTAAAATAAATTGCATTTATCACTAAATTATTTTCACAAACTTAAATGAGAATTAACAACTAAAACCTTAACTTATTAAAATTTTATATTTTTGCAGACATTATGTCGATTGCAACAACATTAAACCTATAAAATTGTGAAAGACAACGCATTATTGTTTAAACACATTTATCAATAGTAGAATCACCGAATATACAATAGCATTTCATATCCTTATATGAACATATTTAAACCGTTTTATGTAAAAAACAATACAAACATAAAGACAATTATTTACTTATTTAACAGATTGCTGATGTCAAAGTACTCAATAATTTATACTTTGATTATCTTAGAAATTTTGGTATGTTTCGATCTGACACAAAATTCCTCTAAAAATGTCTTTCTTTTACATTCTAGTCTCTCTGGTTTCCGAAAGCATTAATTATTATATGCTTTCACAAATATCTGGATAAATTCACAAATAAGTATAATTTATATCTAGTTAAGCTTAACTTAACTTAACTAATTTAACTTCTCGAAAATTGTTAATCCTTTTTAACAAATTAGAATTAAAAAATTATAACAAATAGCACAGTAATCTCTTTAACTTTAGCTTGACACCAAATGGCTTAAGGTCAGTGGCAAATGTCACGATATTAGAAATAAAGTTTACTATAGCTCGATTCCTCTTGACATCTTCAAAGGTCTCACTATGGGCAATAGTTGTTCAAGTGTTGATAATCGCAACAACATGCTTGTTTTATACCTAAACTTACTTACTGATTATTACAATTATAATTAACTGAGTTTCCACAGTTTCAGTATTTTTTAAACTTATACAAACTCTCATTTAGAATAAGAAACTAAACAGTTTTTTCTCAAAAGCGTTTATAATTAATGAGTAATTATTTATAAAATATTAGAGAGATTATGGTTGTAATTATTTTAATATTATTAACAACTATAAAACAGCAACATATAATCAGAATAATTCAATTTAGAAAAACTCTTCCTAAACATATTTAATAATCATTATCTAGTTATTATTTAAAGTGATTTGAAACAATTAATACTCGTATTTCTTTATTCTAACAACAAATATATAACAAAATTTCTCAAACCCTTGTTATTCCTGTATTTTATTTATCAATAAAAACTGATTTAAGTAATCTTCTTGTTCTTCCACGGTTAGACAGCCCATTAAAATGTACGCCCTTTTCATAATTGTTTAATCCAATTATTCTAATTTCTTACTACCATTCTCCATATGTGTATCTCTAATTCCCTAATTCATCATCCTTAACTCTGTCAATACATCTCTATCTTCGTTATGTCGTAAGCGTGTATCCAGGGTTTCATCTTATCTATCTTTAGATAGATCTATTTCTTCTATTTCTATTTCTTTAGATTTCTTGTTTCCTCATCTTTGTGTCACCGTCTATAAATCGAATTAGCGAAATAATATAAAATTTTCTTTCTATTCTACTTCTATTTCTATCAGACCACTTTCTTCTTAATTATTGTAAGCTTGTGTGTTTTTCTGTTATTCGGCATACTTCACTCTCATATGTGATTACCGGTCGCAGTTTAGCCTATATATTCTCATTCTGGCCTTTATCAGCTATAAATTTTGCTTTATCAATTACTATATGTGATTGTATAGAACTCTAACGGTCCTCTAATCCATATATTTCATTTTGTAATGACTCAAGGAATGCACATTTTTCAAAACCAATAGGGAAGCTATAATACATTATACAGAATGTTCAATACATCCACAGATCAAAAATTAACAACGACTCCATGTATTACTAGTTACCGTGTTCTGTGGTTATCGTATTTCAAATCTATCATTTCTTTGAGTTATCATAATTTGAAGTTATCATATTCTACCCCTACCATATTTTGGGGTTATTGTATTCTGGGGTTATCTAAATTTCAGCTATTATTATTTTTTGTGTAAAAATTTTGCCTACTTGGATAATGAAAATAGAAATATAATTATAGTTTCTACCATAAAAGATATGTAAAATCTCAAAACTCTCAACTTTAAAGATATGAGTAAGGTGATATATCAATTATGTAAATATGCTTGCATATCATATCGTGAATATATTATGAATTATCAGTCCATAATCTAATTGACAAGAATTGTTTATTTACAAATGTAAGAAAAAAACGCGCTTTAAATGATAAATACCTTCTAAGACATTAAACAAAATAAATTGTTGTTAAAGAAATTAATACATCGAAGTTAAAAATATTATTATTATTATTATTGTTATTATAATTATATGAGCAATTGAAAGTCTTTCAATATTACTAGATTTCATTCTTAGTAAATATCGGGCGTTAAAAAAAACAATATATTTATTAATAAAAATCAAATTTATTATTTTAGTTTCAATTACGACAAAGATTTTATAATTAATGTATTTTTTATCAATTTTAATTTATTATGTATATTTACTTATTTCTACTAATTATATATGTATATATAAATATAAATTTAATTTTTTATAATATACCTACATATATTATATTTTCAGTACCGAAATTGCACTTATCCTTGAAAATCCCTTTTTTTAGCTTCAGTCAATGAAATGTAGGTAAAGCGGAATTTTCTTCTTTGGTTAACTATATTTATTCTACTCTATTTATACTACTTTATTCCCATTTTTCATGACCATTAGGTATGTAACCATTATCAGTCCATAGCCCATTACTATAAGAGTGTGACTCATCCACATTTCTGTCGGACTTAAATGTTGTTTTCTTGCGTTCATAATGGAATGGTGGAAAAGCTTTTCGACGAGGATCCATATCATCGCAATAATCTGTGCCATTAAGGCTTGAATCATCCATTCTATTGCCACCATTAGTCGATATCACTGGCATTTCTTCTTGTAGACATTGTTGAAGATGATTGATATAGTTGATGGCAATTCTGTATTAAGAAAATATCATATAGTCTTCACGATTATTTAAAATTGATGTGAGTAATTAGTATTTACCTTAAACTTTCTATTTTTGAGTATTTCTTTCCATTCGGTTTTGATATTGGTAATTTTGATCTTAATAAATCAAAAGCTCTATTCATATCACGCATTCTGGTACGTTCTCTATCGCATGCAGTCTTTTTATAATCTAAAATTTTAATGGCGATTATATAGTTTACTGATTATTATAGAAATCGTATTATGAATAGAAGTTTGTTATACTTAAATAAATTAGAATGTTTTCATTTAAATTTCAAAATCAATTTCAAAACTTTTTTGAATTTGCTTTCGTGGTGAGTGATGGAAAGCCATCACATAACAATTATATTGCAAAGTATATAATAAAGTCGAGTTCTTTACAATAAAGTTATATCTTTACAATAAAGTTATTTTACGATAAAGTTATATCTTATTGAATTCTTTTCAAACGTATTATTTGAGTTTATTGGAACCGACAGGAAACTCCGCGGTTTAGAACGTCAAGCAAGATGAAGATGTGTAATCACATTAGAAGTGATGTATTTCGTGAATATAGGTATGTCATGTCCAAACAGGATTTGATATAGAAAGATTAAGGCGTATGCTTAACTGGAAATTATAGACGGAATTAAGTAAATATTGAAGTAAAAGGAATTATCCATTTCGTCATTAAGATTCCACAGCACTATTTCTGTGACATCTTTTAAACTGTACATCCAAGGCTTATATACATATTTAATTTAAGGTTTTAAATTTTACAATATATTATATATGTATATATAATATACACAAATTAGATGAAATCTATTGAAATCACAATTACAACTGTTTTATTTTTATGTATGATTTTGGAACTACAAAATATATAACTCTGTATATAACCCTGGAATTTAATTATACTTATATAATATGAAATGTTTCAAAAGATGTGTACATTTTCATTCCAAAAGATTTAAAGATTCAAAATAATTAGAAAGGGCGTTTCATAAATTACCTATATTATTAAAATTATCTGAACTTGGTGGGACATCTTATTCGAATGGAACAAAAGCAAGTCTGAGATTTTTTATATCTATTAGTTATCTCACTTTTTCCTCAGTTAGGTAATGAAATGAAATCTTATTAAAGTCAGTAGACAGTTAAGACCTGTTGATAGAAAGTCAATACTGATGGTAACAAACAAAAATAATTGGATTTTTTTTATAAATATCGTTAAACCCTCTATGAGTTTATATATACGCTTAGCACATCCTCAGTTCACTTCTAGTATAGCTATATAATTGCCACAACAGATTTTGGTTTTAAATCTTTAATAAAATAACGTCAATCTATAAACATATGTTGTCAATATAGACTGTCATATGGTATGGAAACAATCGTAGATTAGAGGTCGCTTTAGGGATCTTTTAGATTAGCATAAATTATCTGTCGATATCAAAGTTTCCACAGAAGACTATGTAGATTTCTCATTTGATTAACTAACAGCCAATATAATAGTCTTATTGATATGTTGAAAATAAAATGAAAAAGTTTTAAATAGTGATAATTCCTAGCAATTTTTTCTCTTTTTTAACCTCTTTTTAGTTAATCTAATTAAATCTTACCTACCCCTTACAACACTAAACACCCGAAGAATACGAAAACAATGATACTTATAAGTTAATATATGATATTTCAAAAACAAGGACATCACATTTATTATTTTTATGTTAAAGTACGTTTACACTAACGCAATTATCTCTCTAAATATGCAGCAATAATTGTCTTTTTCGTACAAAATCCATACATATATTTGCTAATGAGGTGCGAGTATTCTATAAATTCTGTTCATAAAGATATTTTTCAAAAGATAATTTAATCTAACAAGTTCTCAACTGAACAAAGTCTAATAGTACCATTAGTACTACAAATTGTGAATAAAGATGGGACAAACTCCACTTGCACAGTACCCTGCCAAAACTCTACTCTACTCTACTCTCCTCTACTACTACTCTACTCTACTAACCAACTCATTTAGTTGATTAAATATATGATTATAGAATTAGAAATTTAAAGTAAAAAATAGTAGAAATGGTACCAAAGGGAATGTAGGGTACGAAAATTTGCAATCCTACTGATTTATATAAATATTAATTTAAGCCCGTTAATCTATCAAAGAAGAAACTGTGGAATGTTGGAAAAGGACTTCAGTCAAACATAAACTTTTAATAAAATTTTTTTTAAGATGATGAAGACAATATCTTTTAAAAATATTTTATATCCAATAAATTAATTTTATATGTATAAATGTCAAGCAAAAGAATAATTTCTTCGATTGATTACTGTCCATTTAGTTAATGGGATTTTAAATTTGATAAAATTAAATAAATTACAATCACTTGAACAAACCTTTTTCCAATTGTAAAGCTTTCTCCTTCCATGAAGGATTAATATCCTTTGCAATTGTGTGTTCCTTAGCATTAATATAAGACACGTACATAGGTGGTGGCACAACTTCCGTTGCTGATTTCATTTCCATATCCGCTGTTGGCCAAGAGGACACTGTTTGCGGTATATGTGATGTATATGACAGGGTTGAAGCCAAACTTGAAGCACCTAATGGTGATATTGTAGTTGTTGTTGGCATGGGTGGTTGTGCATAATGATTGGTGTACAAGCTGGATAATTGTGCAACAAGTGGTAGTGTACTATTTTCGCCATTAGTCCCATATCCTGGAGTGGAATGTGTTGTTAAATATGTAGGTGTGCTATTTATATCTTGAAGATGCATATTCAAACGATAATCACTAATTGAATTGTAGGCACCAAGAGATGGACTAGCCGTTGGGTTAGGTTTCGTACCGAGTTCTAGAAGAACAGGTCTTTCTAATTCAGCTTCCGATTGATAATCATTATCACTATAAGAACTACTACCGTCGGCTTGCGCGATTACGGCAATATTTGATAAAAGCGCCGGCGGTTCGTCGACAGTTGCGCTTAATAAGTGATCTGTCATTATTTTTAGGTTTTTTTGTTTAATTTAATTTAATTAAAAAATCTGATTTTGTTGTTTTTTATATTTTATTTTAATTTTTGAAATATTTTTAATTTTTTTAATTATATTTTTCTTTTTATCACCTTTTTAAAAATAATATTTTTCAATTAATTTTTATCACAGCACTTTTTTTAATCCGTATTACCGCTAGCAGCCGTCACCACCAACTGTAATGCCTTGCGACAATTCTTCAATGCGAAGATCGACTCTAATCGTTGCGCACCAAGATCACTTTCGTTTTTAAGCGTGAAAAGTAGAGCTTGCGTTCTGATGGGTTGCGCATCATAAATACACCTACGACTGTCCAATTCATTATTTTACGCTTATGTTATCATGTGTGTGTATGTGCGCGATCGATCTCATCGTATCCATACGGTATCCGCTCACATTTATAGTGACTTGAAGTTCAATAATTACAAATGTACCTGGCAGTGGTGATGAATGTTTAATAAGAATTCCGTTCTGAATAGTTACGAGCAGGTACGATGTGAAAGAGAGTTTTCATACGAATATTTTAAATGAGTAAACAATAACATTGAAATATCGCACAGACTAACGTCTTCGGTCTGGAATCGTACTCCGATGTTAAGCTGATCGTAGATAACATATAACTGATCTAACGAACTTTCCCTCTTCAATGAAACTTATAAACAATTTTTATTCAACTTGTTTATATTGATAATTTATACAGAGACAGTGTTCTATAGGAGAAATCAAGAAACTGTTCAAAGTTGAATTAAGATATATCCGTATAAGCTAACACGGATATATCTATAATTATACACTATAAATATATTTCATAAATTATGTAAATATACTTTAATGTTACTAACTAACTATTATTTTCAAAATGTTAAATTAATTAAGAATAATTAATTATTTCTAATAAATTAATAAATAAATCATAACAATAATTTATTTCTTATAAATTAATAAATAATTTAAACTTAGAAAAATCTGAACATTTCGATCGAATAAAAGATTGTATTCTTAAAACTTTTTTTAAGAAAAAAATAAAAAAAATAAAAATGCATATTATAAATTCATCAGTTCGATATTATGGTTATAACAGAACGAGGTGATTAGAAGTCTACTACTGATGTCCTAAATCTTAAGTGCTATAATGAAATCTCAAGATTTTTTAATCTTATAAACACCGGTTGTTCCATTTTACGCCGGGCTGAAGAAGACATAATTAAGAAGGGCATAAATTATAATCACCAAGTCAGCAAAACAACCGGGCATCCATTTTCCCTTCAACTATTTCCATATGTCATATGCATTTATTTACCAACACCGCGTTATTAAATCTCAGAATGGTTACAGGCTCCTCGGGGAGGTATGCAGATCTGAGGTCAATTATTGCTTTGTCTGATGAAGTGATAAACACTAATCTAGTCACGGTATAGAGAGGGGTTTTGAAAAAACCTCGAGTTAAAAAAAAGTATAAGTGCTTAAGTGCACTAGCTCAAAACAGCTTCAACAAAATACGATCTTTTTATTAAGTAGTTCATAGTAAATTTTTAATTTTTTATTACCAATTATTTGAAAAAAAAAATTTTGACGGAAAAGATCGTCAGTGTCTTTCAATTGAATAATATTTAAGCATAATTCTAGTTTTTATGGACATAAATCAACCAATCTTTTAATATTAATATTAAATTTTAAATTATCATTTATCTTTTAAAGTTGACAAAGTTGATAAAGTTGATAAAATGTATATTAATTTTGAAAATAAATCTATAAGTTCTGAGAGCACTTCTTTTTCTTAAATATAGGTTTATACGTACCACAAGAGTCTGCAGAAATGTATTCCATTTATTAATAAAGAAATTATTTGTGGAGAAAAATTCACTTACTTAACTTTATACTAAAGCTCACTATTCTAAAATAAATTTAAATTTATTTAACCTGCTTTACTTTCTAAATATGACCTAAATCACTTTTTCGAGGACCTAAGCTATCCTTTAAAAGATTATAAGCTAACATATGTATTTCATTATCAAAAATTACATTTTTTTCTTAGTATTACACAAATCCTAAATTGACTTATTCTTCTCTACTGTATGTAAAGTTCACTATTTCTTCAATAGTATTCAATAGAGTTTAGTTTCAGATATTACATCAAATTTTTAAAAAATCTATACTTTGAGATCCGAAATGGGATGCTTTTCTTTGTTTTATTTTTGTTAAGATTTCCATCCTTTCATGCAATCTTATGACTTTGTTTTCAGCGAAGTCTACGCAAGCTATTTTCAAGTTCTTCTTTGGACTCAGTTATCAAAGCTTTCTATGCTGTTTTTATGTCCAACGACTAGGACTCAACTCTATATAAAATAATTTATAAAATCTAACATTTCATTAAACACAGTTTTATGCCGAACGCACAAACGATTAACCTACAGTCCCTCGCTACAGTAGCTGAGACTTCCACTTTAGTCCAATACTTTAGCCTTAGTTGTAAGTTAGTTGGTTTGGAGGTCCAAATAGCAGCTCACGTCTGAGAAAAGACTTGTCTGACTTTAGCCTTGTAACGGCACCATTTCTTATTGTAAAAAACATCCCCATTTTTGAACTATGAAACCACTGTATCGCTTTAATGATAATGGCAATGTCTTTAATGTCTATATCTGAAAAAGCATGGCTCTTGAATTTATACACGCATTTTGATGTTTATTAGACAGTGATAAAGCTAGTGAGAAACAATCATCACCTTCTCCTTAGTCTTCGCTCTAATTAAAAAGAGCTTCGGTCGACTCAGACTAATTTGATAACTGTCTTAATTTGTGAAAGTAGCTTTAATTGGTTTTTATTTTGCAATTGATTTCCTGCCCAGAATTTCAGTCTTCATTTAACAGTATTCCAAGTTTATTTATTTTTATTTCTTCTATTAAAATATAAATATCTTAGGCACCAGAAGGCAATTATTTTCAAAATTTTGTTTTTTCCAGAGAGGTTCTTGCTTCAAGGTCAAGGAATGAGGTTCTGACTTTAAATTAAGTCAGTTTGTAGCTTTAAATTCATATTTTTTATACGAGTATCTAATAAATTTAATAATAAATAATACTCCAAGTATATTTTCTATGCATAGGTTAAGGGCTCAGAAAGTTTCGTTCTAATATACCATGACTTATCAAATCACTTATCAAAAAGGAGAATCTAGTCATATAGAGAACTGGTTTTGGATAAGTAATTTTAATTAATTAT